AAAAAGAGAAGAAGTTCTTATGTTGGTTACTCAAACGGATCAATTTCGAGGAAAGAAAATGGGTGTTAACCATCAAAGTCTGAATGCCATAGGACCACGAGCGGAGAAAAAGAGACCACTAGCTGTGAACAACAATAACAATAACAAAAATACTAATTATATCTCAGTCCCTGCTAAGTGGAGGTGTAAATAAAAATTTCTAAATCTGAAAAATCCCTTGCAAACATTAATTGTACCTAAAGTACGACCAAACTTACTCCCCACTTCCTTTTTCTTTTCAGGTAGGTCTTTTTCTGATCCTACAAACCGATCATCTCTTACTGTACTAAGTCTAGGACTCTAGTAAAGGCACTTGTCTTCATATTTTTCAGTAAGACAACTTTTGTTGAAAGACACAAGGAACTAAAAAAATAAAATAATAATAATAATAAAATAATAATAATAATAATAATAATAATAATAATAATATAGAGAGAGAGAAGAAACCAAATATTAAGGCAATTATCCATAGTAGACGCTTTGATTTTTTTCTATCGTAGCTTATGAGCTCGACCGATAATCGTGGCTTTTCTTTATAAGAAATTGTTATTTCACAAATGGTCATATAATTATAGGCCGAGTCAGATTTAAAATTTTTGGGTTTGGATTGTGCATCTTTTCAATTATTGGATTCTAAATTAATAATTTATACATATTCAATAAATTTCTTAAGACAAATACATGGTTTGAACCAAAGTTACTATGTTCAGCCGAACCCATAGGTTCTACCCTCCCTCCGCCGCAGCATAAAACTATAACTTTTTTACCAAAGTCATATAACTATGTTTCCTCACAATAAAAATCATAAAGCTTTTACTAATTCATACAAAAATCATAGTGACCGGAAAATATAACTTTTCAGTAGTATTTTCTTATTCCATGATTTATTTTTTCAATGTAATAAATAATAATCCAATTATAATAAGAATGACACAACTCGACTTAACTCCCCCGACCCAATAGCCATATATATAAATTAAAATAATACTAAAAGTGAATCCTTCTGTCACGACACTAATTTTCCTCCGTAGGATATCGTGATGGCACATAATCTCTATGTCACGACCCCAAATTTCCTTCGTAGGAAGTCGTGACGGCACCTAGTCTCTAAAACTAGGTAAGTCTATTAACATGCGAAAAAATTAAAATAACAACTTAAAAAGCCCAAAACTTCAACATCTGCATAAATAAAATCTGTAACTCAAATGTACGATCCCAAAACCCAGTGAAGTATAAGTCACAAGCTCTAATAACAATTCTGAACAATCATATACATAATTGTCTAAGATAGTGTAATGAAATAAGAAAAAACAGGATAGAAAGGGACTCCGAGGCATGCGGACACGAGCAGGTATACCTTGAAGTCTCCAAAGAAACCCCAACTCACTAATGCTGGGACTGAAAGAAAGTAACTGGATCTGCACAAAATAATGTACAGAAGCATAGTATGAGTACACCACAACGGTACCCAGTAAGTGCCAAGCCTAACCTCGGTAGGGTAGTGACGAGGTCAGATCAAAGCCCTAGTGAAGGTAATAAGAAACAAGGCGAAAGATATAATGATATACTAATAAAGACAATGGCAATGAAGCAATAAGGAAATTTACGAAAATTAACAACACAGAATCAAGACAGTTAATACAACACGGAAGGAAGCAAGGATTAACATGTTAAGAAAACAAACAACCAAAGCAACTACATCAAATAAAGAAAGATCCACAAGGGCCACTACCGAGGTACCGCCTCGTAGTCCCAAATCATAAAAATAACTCACAACCTTTTCCTTTTATCACCGGTGTTTTAGCCCACCTTATCATACCGTATGGCTTCTAGTAGTTCCCCTACTAGCCACGCGTATCAAGATCACCTTATCTCATCGCATGCGTTTCAACACCAAGACCTTATACCATCGCATGCGTATCAATATCACAATATATCACAATTCGCAACTCAAGTGCCAAAATATCACAACTTGCCAGAAAACCAAACGATGATAAAATTTTACAATAAGGAGCCCACGGCTCAACCATATTGTACACAAGTCTCAACAATAACAACCGGAGAGTAACTCAATAAAATGATATCTCACAACTTACACTTTGCCTCAATAGGAACCATGGCCTTTGCAACTCAGTACCAAATTCAACAACATGATATTCCAAGAATAATAATTTCAAGTAAGAATTTAACAGTTAAATAGTGAATACGGAATAAATGAAAGAAAGTAATTCAATTAAACATGTAGGACAAATTGCAAATAAGAGACAAAACAAGTAGGCATGTGGAATTATACTAATTATGAGGACTACAACATGTTAAAGTAACTCAATTAAGGCATGAAAGAGAACTACATAGCTAAAAATCAGAAATTTTACATTTAGCCTGTGTACGCACTCGTCACCTTGCGTCACACCTTTCACATATCACAATTATCACAACAATACCAAATCCTAAGGAAAATTTCCCCCTACACAAGGTTAGACAAGTCACTTACCTCAAACCACGCTAAATCAATCAACTAGAAGGCCTTTTCCTCGATTTTTCAACTCCGAATGGCTCGAATCTAGCCAAAATAATTTTATACTATAAATATAACTATGGAAAACTAATTTGAACTATGAAATTACGATCTTAGCAAAGAATTTAAAAATCGACCCAAAAAGTCACCCCGAGCCCGCGCCTCAGAACCTGACCAAAATTACAAAAATCGAACACACATTCGATATCGAGTCCAACCATACAAGAATTATTCAAATCCGACCAACATAGAAATCCACCATACTGAGCAATAATAAATTGGTCCTGGTCTCAAAACCACTAAGAACAATTAGACACGACTGATACACATAGTCAACAATAATAGAATCACCCACGGGTGTAGACACATAGACAAGTGAACTCAGATAATCACAGGATACGCCCAAATACGAAGTAAAATAAGATGACACAGAGGAATAAGTGGTGCCTGGATCAAATAAGACGGATGCATCTCTATGACAGACCAGAACAATACATGTGATAACAGAATCTGAAGCAACTTCCTCCGTCCTAGCAGGAAGGGCATAATAGTTGGCCTGGCCTCCCCTTCTAGGTCGACCTCTACCTGTCCGACCTCCACCTCTAGCTGGCTGTGCAGGTGGGGTGGTAGCTGGTGCTGTAATCATAGCCTGAGGACCGTTGGAGCACGCGGTGCCTGAGAAATATGTGGAGGTGCACCTTTCCTAAGTCTGGCGCAATCCCTCACCATATAACGAGTGTCACCTCACTCAAAACAAGCTCTCAGAGGATATGGTTGCTGTGACTGGCTCGGGCCTGATTGCCTGGATTGACCACCGAAAGTACCCCGCACAGGAGGTATGCTAGACACCCGCAGTGCATAATAGGGATTCTGGGGCCTAGGATTGGCAGGAGCACCGCTGGTTGCTGGAAATGCTGAATGAACAAGGCGGCCCATATAAACCCTGCCCTGGCGAGCTGCAACTGGGGCACGAGTACCACTATAAGTGCCAGACTATCGAGACCTCTTGGCCTCTCTCTCCTCTCTATCCCGAGTCAGCATACCCTCCAACCTCCTAACAATCCCCACTACCTGCTAGTACGCAATATCCATCTCCAGCTCTCAGGCTATGCTAAATATGATACTGGGGTTGAGCCCCTCAATAAACCGACGAACTCGCTCCCGGATGGTAGAAACCAAGGCCGGTGCATGCCTAGCCAAATCACTGAATCGGACCGCATACTCTGACACGGTCATAGAACCCTAGCACAACTGCTCAAACTCTACACGCCATACATCTTTGAGACTCTGGGGAACATACTCCCTCAAGAATATATCTGAGAACTGAGTCCAAGTGAGTGAAGCTGCCTCGGCCGGACTACCCAACTCATATGCGCGCCACCACTGATAGGACGCTCCTCTAAGCTGGAACGTAGTGGATGAAACCCCACTAATCTCCGCAACACCCATAGTACGGAGGATACAGTGGCACTCCTCAAAAAAATCTTGGGCATCCTCTGACGCCAAGCAACTGAAAGTAGGAGGGTGGTACTTCTTGTACCTTTCGAGCCTGAGTTGCTCCGCCTCAGAAACTGCTGCCCTAACCTCAGGCTAAACTGGAGCTACCAGCTGCATCAGTATGATCTCTGGAACCTGATCGACCTGAACCCACTTCTCTAGGGTACCAGCGATGGGAGTCTATGCTCCTTCCCCGGCCTGCGATGTGGCAGGAGTGAGTGGTATCAATCCTGCCTGAACCAAGGTGCTGAACATGCTCAGAAACCGGGCTAGAGTCTCCTAGAGGGCTGGTGAAGTAACAAGCATCTCAGGTGCATGCCCTCCAACTGGAGCTACTGGTGGCTCCTCTGTAGAAGCTCGTGCGGGTGCTCTGGCTGCACCACGTAGACGTCCTCGGCCTCTACCCCGGCCTCGAACTCTCGTGGCTCTAGCAGGGGGCACGGGTGTCTGGTCATCTGATCCAGTTGTATGTGTTCTCACCATCTTTGAGAGAATAGAAAAACATAAGTTTAGAGTCCGAAGTCAAAATCTCGCACGATAAGGAATCAAAGAAGTGAAGCTTTTCCTAACAGTTCTGTAGCCTTCCGAAGATAAATACAAATGTCTCTGTACCGATCTGCGAGACTCTACTAAATTTGCTTGTGACTCATAACACCTATGAACCTAGTGCTCTGATACCAACTTGTCACGACCCCAATTTCCCTCTGTATGATGTCGTGATGGCACCTAGTCTCTAAGACTAGGTAAGCCTAACAATTATACGAAATACGAAAATATAAAACTTAAACTCAAGTCTCAACATATAACATAAATCAAACTGCGATTCAAAAATAGATGCAACTCCCAAAACCGGGTAGAAATAAGTCACAAGCCTCTAAGAAAAAATACTAAGTATCTTTATACATCAAAGTCTAAAAAGAATAAGAAAAATAACATAATAAAGATAGGGGGATCCGAGGTCTGCGGACGCTGGCAGATATACCTTGAAGTCTCCACGTACGGTCCAGCTCACTGGTATCTGTTTTGGTAGGAAGAACCTGGATCTGCACAAAAAGATGTGCAGAAGTGTAGTATGAGTACACCACAACGGTACCCAGTAAGTGTCAAGCCTAACCTCGGTAGAGTAGTGACGAGGTCAGGTCAGGGCCCTACTAGAATAAAAGGAAATGAGGCAGAAAATATAATAATACAATGAAATGACTGAGAAATGAACAACAAGAAATTATAGAAGGGTAACATCACAACAAATAGAGGTAAACAACAGGGCGCTCTCGAGGTATCTCCTCGTAATCCCAAATGTAAATGCGCAACAGGGGAATCTCCTGAGGTACCGCCTCGTAGTCCCAAAAGTAAATATGTAACAGGGGAATCTCCTGAGGTACCACCTCGTAGTCCCAAAAGTAAATATGCACAACAGGGGGATCTAGTCCCAAAAGTAAATATGCACGACAGGGGGATCTCTCGAGGTACCGCCTCGTAGTCCCAAAAGTAAATATGCATAACAGGGGGATCTCCCGAGGAACCGCTTTGTAGTCCCAAAAGTAAATATGCATGATAGGAGGATCTCCCGAGATACCGCCTTGGAGTCTCAAAAGTAAATATGCACAATAGGGGGATCTCACGATGTACCGCCTCGTAGTCCCAAAAGTAAATATGCAACTCATAATTTATGGAACAACGAATTTACGGCAAGGAATCCTACAGTTAAAAATCGAGTACAATAATCAAGGAAACAGAAAATTCTACTAAACATGTTGCACGAATTTCAAGTAAAGGTTAAGATACGAAGACAGGTGATACTAGGCTAACATGACAACTACACATGCTAAGGCAACTCAGTTAAGGAATTCAAAATAAATCTACTTAGCAAGAATCGAAATTTCAACAATTAGCCCGTGTACGCACTCGTCACTTCGCGTACATGGTGCTTACATATCACAAATTGTTACAACAGTACCAAATCCTAAGGGGATTTCCCCCACACAAGGTTAGACAAGTCACTTACCTCAAATCTCGCTCAATCAATCGATAAGAATGCCTTTTCCTCGATTTTCCCACTCTGAACGGCCCAAATCTAGCCAAAAGCAATTACATACTATAAATACAACTACAAGAAACGAATTGAAATAATGAGACTACGATGTTAGCAAAGAATCAAAAATCGTCCCAAAAAGTCGACCCGGGCCCACATCTCGGAATCGGATAAAAGTCACAAAATACGAACACCCATACTAAAATCGCACAAATCCGATACCAAAACCTCAATTAAAATCTCAAAATTTGGCCTAAGGATCTTCCACCTTTTCCCCCCAATTTCTCAACTCAAATCCTTAATTAAATGAAGAAATTAATGATAGTTTAGTAGATATTAATCAGAAATGAGTGAATATTCCTTACCCAAATGTTTCCTCTGAAAATCCCTCAAATGTTTGCCTCAATCCGAGATCTCTAAGTCCCAAAATAAAAATGAGATCAAACCCTCGTTTTTCCCCTTTTTCTGCCCAGTCAAACCGCATCTGCGACCCAAGAATCGCTTCTGCGATGCCGCACCTGCGGAAAATCATCACAGATGCGGGAAACACTTAAGTCCCGGACTTTCGCTTCCGCAGTACAAGGATCGCACCTGCGACCCAAAGCGCTTCTGTGCTCCCGCCATCGTAGAAGCGAATGCACTTCTGCGAAAAATGTTCCGCTTCTGCGACCAATGCTGGGCAAGGCCATCTCCAAATCTGCGAATCAAAGCTCGCTTATGTGATTCCGCACTTGCGGCCAATCCCACCGCCGGTGCGATGATACCAGAAACAGCCCACCATCAGCTACTCCTCTAAGTCCAAAAATGATCTGATAATAATCCGAATCACACCCGAGGCCCCCAGGACCTCAACCAAAAATACCAACAAGTCCTAAAACATCATACAAACTTAGTCGAGCCTTTAAATCATATCAAACAATTCTAAAAGCATGAATTGCGCATTGGTTCAAGCCTAATGACATTAAAACTTTAAACTTCTACATCCGATGCTGAAACCTATCAAATCAAGTCCGATTGACCTCAAATATTGCACACAAATCATAATTGAGATTACCGACCTACTCCAACTTCCAGAATCAGAATCCGACCCCGATATCAAAAAGTTCACTCCCGGTCAAACTTCCCAAAAATCATGTAATTTTTCAACTTTCGCCAATTGACGCTAAAATGACTTACGGACCTCCAATTCAACACCCGAATACGCCCTAAGACCAAAATAACCCTATGGAGCTATAAGAACCTTCAAAACTCTATTCCGGAGTCGTCTTCACATAATTCAACTGCAGTCGATTCCTACGACTTAAACTTTTATTTTAGAAACTATGTGTCCCATCACACTCCAAAACCAAAAACAAATCCTTCCGGCAAGTCGCGTAATCACAAAATGAAGTAGAGGGAAAAATAAATAGGGGTTCGGGGCTAATACTCTCAAAACGGCCGACCGGATCATTACAGGTAAGCAGACCACTTATGCGGCCGCAGAATGGACCGCATAATGACCCAACAAATCTTCATGCCAAATCTGCGACGGAAAATGTGGACCGCGAAACAACTATGCGATCGCATAATGGACTGCAAAACGACCATCAAAATTAGACAAACTCCTTGCTCTGCAATGATTATGCGGCCCATAAAACAGTTCTGCGATCGCAAAACAGACTGTAGAATTGCCTTCTCCTGCCAAAAATTTCCGTCAACTCCTTAGTGCATTCTTCAATCCAAAAAATCTGTACCGCGGTGAGCTTATCCTCAAACACATAAGCCTATCTCGGCACCACAAAACTTGAATCCCTTGGCAAAATTTTACGGGGCCTTACATTTGACTGATTTACTATGATCATCAGTCTATGCTTTCGGATTTTTCTTTAATCTTTCATAAACAATTGAAGTATCCTTTGCAAGGTCCTTTATGAAAGGAGCAATATAATTAAGGCTTCCTAGAAACTTCTGGAGCTGAGTCTTATCAGTTATGACATCAGAAAATTTGGATGCAAATTCAATGCTTCTTTGAATTGGAACGATTCTTCCATTTTGAATATTATGACATAAAATTCTTAAATTGGTCTGGAAAAGGGCCATTTTTGGTTTAGAAATTACTAAGCCATTTTGAATAATAATTTTTCTAAAAAGATTCAAATGTTTAAAATAAATTTTAATATTTTTTGAAAATACTAAAATATCATCAATATAACCAATTATAAAATTTGTATAAGGCATAAATATATCATACATTATTTTCTAAAATTTAGAAGGGGATTTTTTTAAACCAAAAGGCATAACATTCCATTCATACTGATCCATTGGGACATTAAAAGCAGTTTTGTATTTATCTGACTCAGATATATAAATCTGCCAATAACCAGATTTTAAATCAAATTTTAAAAATATTATGGCATCATGCAATCTCTCCAATAAATCTTTTTTATTAGGGATTGTATATCTAATCCACTTTAAAACTTTATTAACGGGCTTATAATTGATAACTAATCTTGGAACTCCCCCTTCCTGTTTAACATGTTTATTAACATAAAAAGCAGTACATGACTATTTAGACCTTGAATGTCTTATAAGAGCTTTTTGCAGCAAAGAATCTATTTATTTTTTGCATAATTCCAAATAATCTGAATTCATTTGGCAAGGTCTAGCCTTAATTGGAATATTATCTTTCGAAAAGTCTTCTTCATAAGAAAGACTAACTATATGCTTTTTCTTATTCCAAAATTGATTTGGATGGTCCCCACATATTTGTAATGAAAACTGATTTTTTAAAAAAATATTTTTTTCTATAAGCTTTGGGTTTTGTAAATCTTCTACAATAGTAAGGCTACAAATTTTATTTTTCAAGAAATCAATTTATCTATTCTTTGTAGATATATTCTCAGTCATTTTATTTAAAAATCTTTTAAATGGTTGAGTTATAAAATCAAAACTAATTTCTTTATTATCAAAAGTTCCTGTAAAACTTTGGGCATCCCATCTAGTAAAAAAAATTATATGATGAAACAATAAGACTCCTAATATGAATCATGGAATATATCTTTTACCAAAACAAATATTTCAGTTATACAAACCTTATCTCGGCAAATAAAAGCTTTTGGTAATTTATAAGAAATACTCATTCTATCACCACTAGCATTTCTTAATCTATGAGTAATTTTATGAAAATATCTCGAAGGTATTATTCCTTCTTTAATACAATTCAAATATGCAACACTATCAAATAAAGCAGTAAACTCTTTTTTAAAATTATAGTCTATTAATATTAACTGCTCCTAAAAATTACTTCTTGCCATATCCTTAGAAGTACCAGCATTAATATTATCAAAATCTTCTTCAGTAATATTAGTATTGAATTCCTGACTTATAGGGACATGAGAATTTTCTAATCTAATAATTCTCTTGTCTAAAGTTGTATTTGAAGCCTTTAAGTCCGAAATTTCTCCCTTGAGATTATGAATCTCATTTTTCAAATCTTGAACAGTAGTTGGCCTATCAATGGCCTGGGATTTTTCTCTTAAAATCCTTTTAAGATCGGGCATCGTATGTGGTCCCTTCTAAGAAGGAATTTCTTCAATCTCTGAACTTGTAGGAATTTTATCCTGAATTTTGTCCATATGATCAATTATCTGGGACCTTAATTCTGGGTCTTTAATTACCCTGAGAAGTTCTAATAAACTATCATTAGTCAGGACATTGACTTGTAGATCCTTAAATTGAGAATAAATATTAAAACATTCATCATTTGTGTTGTTATTACAACACTGATTCTGATTTTGTTTGCAGGGTCCACATTCGTCTTCTGAGGAAATGTATTCTTCCTCCTGTAGAACCCTTACATCTTTATCAGTTGATGAATCTCTTCTATCACTATTTTCTGGAGAATTTTCTGAAGAAGAATTTCACAGAATCTTATATAAAGAGTGCTTAATATTATCCTCTATATCAAGGTTCTTAATCTTATCCTTGAATTTGCAATCTCTAGCATAATGACCTATTTTATCACATTTGTAA